CACTAGATTTGGATTCGATTGAACCCAACGGTTGTTCATCTTCTTCCTTCAGTAGGCTTCATTTTTTCTCTTCCTTCCCCAACACTAGATCTAGGTTCGATTGAACCCAATGGTTGTTCATCTTCTTCCCCAAATAGGCTTCATTTTCTCTCTCCTTTCCCCAACACCAAATTTGGGTTTAATTGAACCCAGCAGGTGTATCAAACCCAACAGGCATTGGGTTCTTTCGAACCTAAGAGCAAAAAATAAAAATGATTTTTTTTTTTTGTGGATATTGTTATTTGATGAAGAAGAAGAATTGATTGATGAAGAAGAGAAGGCAAAGAAGAGGAAAGAGAAAGGGAAAAAGGATTAAAAAAAGAGTATTTTTTAAGTTTTTATTACCATGTCATTATTTTTTGCCATGCTTTCCATGTGAACTTAATATTTTGACATATCATCATGTTTTTGTTAAATAATAGAGCACGTAGGTGGATTTTTAATGAAAAGACCAAGTTATGGTCAAAATGATAAACAATAGGGATCAAATCAAAGATTTTTTGAGTTGAGAGACTAAATCGCTAGTCCATACAATAGTTGAGGGATCAAAATGAGGTTTAACCAATAAATTTCTATATTAAACTTCATTTTTGATATAAAATCCGTTTTAAAAAACTTGAATTTGGCATTATTATGATATTCTCATTTTAAGATTCCCTAACGTATTGTTTGGATTGGAGGTATCGGACAGAGAGGGAGGGGAAGAGATGGAGACGGATGATAAGGGAGGGGGAGTGAGGGGAGGTTGTCCCCTTACTCTTGTTTGGGTTTTCAAAGAGGCAAAAGGGGAAGGAGATCGACGGATTCGGACTCCCTCCAACTACTCTCAACTTTACAGATTTACAATCCTTCCGATTTGAGGGGTTTAGGAGGGATTGCAGAGATTATTTAGATTAAGTTAAAGATAATTACATAATTAATCTTTTCATATATTATCATAAATTTTCTTCCTCCATCTTAAAGGATAAATTTATAAATTTAAAATTAATTTAAATCATTTCATTCCTTCTACCTTAATTATTTAAATATAAAAAATATAATCCTTCCCTTCCCTTCCCTTCCCCTTCCTCATTTTTATTTATCCAAACAAAATTAACATAAATAATTTCCTTACACTTTCTTCCCTTCTCTTTCCTTTCTTTCCGCTCCTTTTCCTTCTATTTTCCTCCCCTTCCTTCCCTTCCCTTCCCTTCCCTTTACTATTTTCTATCCAAACAGTACGTAAGGAATGAAGAATCAGGACAAAGCGCCGGCGTTCACTGTTCATAACCAACGCAACAACATTCCAGAGCTGCAGAACGATGGGGTCGAGTGTGGGAAGTGAGTTGCACAACGTCTTCGTCTACGGCAGCCTCTTGGCCGACGACGTTGTTCGCGTCCTTTTGAATCGCGTCCCCAAATCCTCCGTCGCCGTCCTCCATAGCCAGTACGCCACTCTCTCCCTCTGTAATTTTTTTTTTTTTTTCACTCAGCCAAAATTCGGTACTCCTCGGATTGTTTCGATTCGCTTTCCCAATCGAATCACTGATCTGAATATTGTTTCGATTCGCTTTCCCAATCGAATCACTGATCTGAATATGTAAAATGATGCAGGATTCGAATATGTGATTTGCATAGAATTGATACTGTCAAGGAAATTTTTCTTTTTTAATCGAGTTGACTTCCTGTTCTTGCGTATCATCGTTTCTTCACCTTGTTTGGTTTCTGAAATTGTAGCCATAGGTTTAGCATCAAAGGACGAGTTTATCCAGCGATTTTACCTGTTGAAAATAGCAAAGTTACTGGAAAGGTTTTCAATTGTCTGCTATATTTCTGTATTCAATTTCTTTAAATTGAAAAATGCGAATTCTGCTTCATGCTCATAAACAACTTCTGATATTACCAGGTTCTGTTAGGAATTACAGGCCCTGAATTGCATATCTTAGATGAATTTGAGGATGTTGAGTACCAAAGGAGCTCTGTCGAGGTCTCTTTAATGGTAAGTGGAATTCTCCTTGTGCGTGTTTATAGCATCCATGAACCTTAGATCAAAGGTAATGATACCACTTATCTGCTGGGAAACATTTGAAGGAAGGTTTTTTGGGGCGGGTAGGAGCTCCCCTGATGATAAACACAGTATGCTCATTTCTTCTGTGCTTCTGCTGAAATGGAGGTCGGTGATTATATATGTTTTGCAGGAAAATTCTGACAAGTTACAAGCGTACACATATGTCTGGAACGACAAAAATGATCCAAACTTGTATGGAGACTGGAATTTTGAGGTAAATTTGCTGTAGTAATTAAATTTGTGTGATGCATAATTAAGCTTTGAAGAATTTCTCAAGGGAGAGAGGAAGAGGGAAGGGGATTGGATTTAAGTTGAAATATTAACGTGTTCAATTGTAGATAAAGTAGAAATCAGACAAACAGATCCTGGCAGAAATCTCTACTTTATTTTATCATTTTGACTTGACAAAATAGTTCCTTATTATGGAAACTAGGTTCAAATTAAATTCCTCCGTCCGTCCTTTATATCCCTCACTATTAGTGGATTCAATTTTGTGTGCTTCAAATGGGATATGCATTTAAATTCCTCAAGTTGCATTATAAGTAGATGATAAGGAATAATTCTTTGTTATATGGGGGTAACAAAAAGTTCTTCATCCATCTTTTCCTGACTCCAGATGCTAGCAAAATTTGTTGATTACTGCTGTTTATGATTTGAAACATCCTGTTGGTGAATACTGTTGACACTCAACGAGTTTTGTTAAGACATAGGTAGGGAAGAGATGGTAGACAGATGGAATTTCTCCCTTTTTCCTGGTCTTTAGGCTGAACAATGTGGATTGTGAATACTGTTGGTGCGTTATATAGTTGCTCTAGCTTTCTAATCTGTGTTCTGAATCCTTTTGTTTTCTTTGTGATTCTCCTCCTTGCTAAAAGGAATGGAAACGGGTTCATATGGAAGATTTTCTCAAGATGAGTAATGAATTTATGGAAGCGCTTGAGCTGCCCGAGTCAAAGCCGCGAGTTGCAATGTATGAATCCTTCTATCAGCAGCATGATAATAATCCTCCCAAGTGTTGATCATTTTCTCAACAAATTTAAGTCTGAACTATGTCTCAAGTCTCAACAATATGATAATTGAAACTGTTTATATTTCCAAGTGTTGAACATTTACATGGATATCCTGAAATGTGTAGTTTATGATTCTCGTAATTGCTATTTTATCTGCCACAAGTCAATTTGCATGCAGTTGGAATTTGCAACATAGACATAACTACCTTGTTCCTTAATTAATTAAAAAAAAAAAGGAGAAGGATCACCCACCTTTTTCTTTTTCTGGGTCAGCAATCACCCACCATATTCCAAACGGTTTTTTTTTATAAAAAAAAATTATTTACACGTTTTAACCAAGTTGGAGAGGGAGTAATATTTTTCAGAAATTGAATAGAAGTCTAGTTAATAACTAAACGCGGGTTTTTTCTTGAGTATATTTGAGAAAAAGAGACTAGTTTGCATATCTAAATATCTTCAGAAAACTCATGAAGAGGGTACACGTTATGAAATAGGAATGATAAATTTTATTAATTGATGAAATATGTGTCTTGGTGGTTTATTCAGCCTAAAACCTTGAAGAAAAGGATTATAAATATACCCCATAAATTTCATACATAATGCGTAAACCCCGTCGATGCACCTCTTTAATGCTTCCGACCAGTATATTAAGATTTGAGAGTCGTTCGTCGACGAATTCTTAGGTATCCAAAGTTTCCAGCTCCTGGGGACGAACCCTCAAAAAGGAATGGCAAATAGCCTGTTGCGGCTTTGTATCTTTGCTGAATCTGAACAAATTAGATAGAAAAAGAAATGGTAAATTAGATATGGATGCATAAATCAATGTGCATGTCAATGCATGAATTTATACCATTAGAAACCTGTTGAAAGTGGGGGTGCACCAACTTCCATATTATTTAATATTTATTAAATATGCTGAGCTATGAGATCTATTATAAACAGAACATGATTAGCGAGACGAAAAAAGCAAGGCCGAATTCAGGTTGAAAGTTTTTTAGTCAGCCCAGAAAATTTCGGCCTCAGTGTTTTCAGACTACCTTCAGAAAATATTGCTATTTAAAAGAGGATTTAAGAGTGCATATTCCAAGGTAATATTAGTTTTATAGAGTTTATGAATATTTTGAAAATAATGTCAAGAAATATTATCATTATTCTATAATAGGACTAAATATTACCTCAAATATGTGTTGGCTGCTTCTCAGTGAGTTCCTGCCAATTACACACACTGTTCCACCAGATCCACCACCAGTGATTTTGGCTCCATATAAAGTACCATCTTCATCTCTATATGATTTACCGTGCTGCATTTCCTGTACCAACCGTACAAGTCGATCTGTCCCATCGGAGCCTAGTCCACAAGCACTGTAGCTGTAGTGGCACTGCAAATATAGTTTTTTTTTTTTTTTGTAAACAAAAGCACACCTTTGGAAGAAATAATTATGGCCAGTTTTAACTTGACTTATGATGGAAATGATATCATATGAAAAGCATCAGCAACATGTCTCCATCAAACATTAACACAAGTCAGGTATAATGGGAGTAATATATCTGAAGTTTGCATTTAAAGCTGTCTCTTTCTCCTCTTGGTTCGCTGTTAATTTAGAAAAGGCAAATTTACCGCCAAACATGCATCATTTTTCCCATCATTAGCTTGAACACAAATGACATTGAGATCCTTTCATCCACCCCAAACATTATACACTAATTTGTTCATCATAGGGTTGTCTTCAATTCAGAAAAAGTCAAAGAAGATACTTTAAAGAAAACTGGAAAGAGCTCTGTTAGATACCTGATACAATAGTTCTCCAAGTGCTGAAAGTTGTTCATCAGAGGCTGCAGAAGTCAGCAGTGCCTTAAAGGCCTGCATGTCAAAGAAAAACCAATATAAGTAATCGAGGGAAAAAGTTTATAAGGGCCATAGAGCAATAAGAAGAAAATTCATATTTTCTACACATTATGTTTTTAGAGATGTTCTTAATTCCATGCAAGAAAAGCATCAATAATTTGGCATGGCACATTCTCAGGCTATTTTTATTTCCAAGTAAAAAGAGTCTAGATAACAAAGAGAAGTCATTCAGGCTTGAGAACCAGCCATCAGTTATAGGAAGCAGCATTGAAGAGAGACATTGTCAAAAAGTTGACAAAATGGAAAAATAACATATCAGCAAGCATGGAGTACAATTCCAGCTTCATATAAACCAAAGGACATCATAATTGCAGCTTCAAAGAAATGAAATATGACCAGGAGTAACAAGAGAATTTTATCTTTGTAAATGAATTGTTCAATAAATATTCAATAAATATTGATATTGAAAGTTTCTATTTGATAAAATCTTGAAATTCCCCAGTGACAGAAAAAAATGTCAACTCAAGTTACAAACCTTAACCCTGAAATTTTCGTATATAGGATGTTTAGCAGGTGCTGTCACTCCATATGTTCGCTTGGGATCAATCACTGTAACTGAATCACCATGATCAGCATGTTTATCCAAAAATGCCTCACCGAGCATGGTTTCAGGAAGTGGCTTGGCATATAGGGCTTCATATCTGTTATTATGAGAAGCAGAGAGCAGAAAAATTCACTTAAGAATAGCATGAGATATGAAAGAGGTATGGTATTAAGAACAGCATGAGATATGAAGGAGGTATGGTACTTGACTAAAATTTAGCAGGAAAGACCAATGAAGTGAAATTACCTGTGAGGTGACAAATTACACAAATAATCCAATGAAGCTTCAGATTCAAGTAATTCTATCCCAGTGTCTTCCAATTCATCAGGAGTTGTGCCATTAGCACAGGACAATGATTGAGACAACATATTAGATGCTATAGACTTTATCATCTTCCTCCCCATAAAGGCCCCTACTCTGACAGATCCATAGTCTGCGCCGCCGACACTAACATATGAAAAGAATCAAAATAAAATTTGCGTAGTTTTTATGGATAAAGAAAGAAAGATCCATACTCGCTGGAATTACTATAAAATAACACATGATAGTTTATATAACAAAAGCTTCAATAATAAATAAACTAGTTTATACAAGCCTCAAAGATTATGAATAAGACAACTAGAAAGGTAATAACACTATAAAGATATAGAATCAATATTGAAGGAGCTTGACTTCAATATATCTGTTGAATCTGTTCAGAACCTAAAGAGATTGTCGATGTAGCGCAGGCTATTGTAATGATAATTTCATAGTTATCCAATCCTCACACCAACACAACACAAGCAATTTTGACATAGCATAGTTATCCAAGAAAAAAGTTACTGTACCATATAGGAATGTTCAAAATAAGCACAAGTATGTGATATATCAATGATACAAAGTACAAACCAACCCAAGTCATAAGGGTAAAAATGTAAAACCACGTAATAATAGCCCAATACCTGTGTCGTATTCCTGAATCAATTCCCCAAACTCGGATATGGCTAGGAATTTCTACTAGTCCAACTATCTCAGCAGGCTGCATAAAAAATATGCATCAACTTTTAAGATCCATTGACTTTTATTTTCTGTCTTAAGATCAGTTAACTTGAAAACAACTTTGTAGTTGTAGCACGTGCACCAATAATGCTTACCTGGCACACCATTGCAAGAAGTTTGTTAGCCTCACCACATGCTGAAGCCATCTGGTCCATTACACCACAAGGCGCTCCAACTATGTGGTTCTCCACCTGATAAACAACTTGTAATTGTAAGTGAACCAACATCTATGCTAAGTATCATAGACTGTATGAAGAAAATACTAATTAATTAAAGGCACATGGTCATAACCAAACCTTTTGGCATAGCAGAGCAAGATCTCTCGGGCTGATGCTTAATCCTGAAAAGTATAAACAAGATAAATTGGGTCAGCTTTCTCTCTCTCTCAAACATTCAGATTTTTCACAAAAATTATTGCTCAAAATCTACAATTAAAATTAGCCTTTTGTTTTCCTACTGACATCTTTCTCTTCAAAGAAACCAAGGCTTCTTACCATGTCTTCCATAAGAATTCAGAACTTCTTTATCCATTAGCCTATACAACTATAGTTCTAATGTATCTGACATATATCCAGAGTCAATAATAACACTATAAATGCTGCTATAGAAATGATCACTTCTGTAACATCTCGAAAAAGAGACCAATTACAATTAAAACCAAGGAGATCAACTGTCGAGGAAATGATAGTTAGATTTACCATGAGCTGCTGCTATAGCAGACATGCTAGCAACCTCCACAGAAGCAGATGAAGATACACCTTTGCCTTCTGGGACTGCAGAAGAAACCTGTACATTCATAACATCAAACATTTATTACCTTAAATTGGAAATTAACAAGCAACACTCTCTGAACAAGTTTAAACAAAATGGATCAAAGGTCCATTTTAAGACATGAGCAAATGATACATTTAAACTGCCTTGCACAATTTACTCTGGATAGATGGGGTAAGCCAAGTAGAAAAAAAGTGACAGCAACACAATAAGTGAATTCAAGGTGGTAGGTATGAAATTAGCAAGAAAACCCTCTTACCAGCATACTGATACTCTGCTCAAAATGGATGCCTAGTTCTGTCATCAAAACCAAAATTGTCCCAGCAACATATGCTGCCCACCTGAAAAATGAAATGCATAGTTAGCATAAAGAGTCATCAATGTAGATAAGTCAAGCAATATGATCTACTCTTACTTTTGGGATGGATCTCGGGAAAAGTATTCCTTTGCCTTCTCATATGAAATTGGCTTCCCTCCATCCATAAAATCTGATAAATCCATGTCAAATGTTGGACCACGATTACTCAACTCTGAGCCATATGATACCTGATTCAAACAAAGCGCAGATAAGCATGTATGCTGGCAAGCATATTTATAATTTGATATATACATGTCAATTCATTTTTCCTTTGCAACTAAGAACTAAATTTGATTTGGATTTAGCTGATTCTGATGAATATTGCATCCAACAATTTACTTTTTGGTACATAATTTTATCCAATAATTGTGTCATCATAATGCAAAGAGCACCTTAGGTTCTATGTTATCAAAACATCTTCTTCATTCCACGGTAAATAAAAGAGTATCTTACCATACTAAAACAACGTCCCATATTAAATCTGTGTAAGAAAAAGATCAGTTCAAGTTATCACACATACTATTTGCAGAACAGGCATTGGTCCTTGTCCTTTGGCATTCTGTCGTGCAATTGCATGTTTCCAGAGCCTATGTTTACTTGGATGATTCCTTTGCACAGCCACATGACAAGCTTCCCTTATAGGCATCTGTGAGAGGGAAAAAATGGTTTAAGGAAAAGGTAGTCTTAGAATTTCCACCATGACATCAAGATAACTTGGCATGCAAAATGCTTTGTTTTTTGGTCATTGTCATTGTGTATGCACCAAATAAAAATTTGAAGACCATCTTTATGCTTTTATGGGAAGATGTCAACTATATAAGAGAGAATATAAAAACAGCAAAACAAAAACCGAACCTGCAATACCAGGCTTCCTGAGTAGTCAGCAATGCCTCCCATGACATCCAACCTTCCAGGTGCTCTGGCCACAAATATATCTTCCTGTTCAAAATTAGCATTTCAGCTTTAAACAAAAACCTTGAAATTTTCAACCTCAGGAAAAAATAAATTATTGCTTGGCCTTAAATGTATCAATGTATCAATTAAAGGCAAATAAACAATGAAAACATTAAAACAACCATCTTATCAATCAAGAGCCAGCATAATAGTCATATATATATATATATATTTTTATCACATAACATGTTAAATAAACAGGATAACTTCTCACTATACAAGTAAAAATATGGGAAATGCGACAAGCAATAAATTTTAGTTGACTAGAGCATGAGCATGACCTCCCAATTAAACAGTCCAGCTGCAGCCTTATGTTCACGCATTTGACGCTTTTCAGCATTCTTTCCAGAATCATAAACAGCGTCAAGGTCTGCCAAGCTCTTGAGGAAAGCCATTGTATCTGAAAGGCCTTGAAGATCTCCATGAAGAATTTCAAAGTCTTTGGTCCATCTAAAAGTAGAAATGGATATCATAAAACAACATAAAGATATTTCTTCTCAAACCTAGCAGTAGGATATGCAAAGGAAATAAAACTCACGAAGTCATTTGCAAGTTACTTTCACTCATCTGAGCAGTTGGTGATCCAGCACTTCGACCCAATTCATTTTCTGCAGTTGCATACCATTCAGGGATGCTGATATCCCTTCCAGGGACCCTTTGTAATTGATAACCAAGAACTATTGCATCACGTAACCTTCTTGCGCCACTCAACTGTGTTGCAAAAATAATGCAAAAAGTGAATTGGATTTTGTAACCCATTCTTGGTAAATCAATTTGCATTATCATGGCTACTCAGCCGTAGACTCATCTGCACATATTTTAGCTAACACTTTCCAAAATGCATTTGGATATAGTAAGCATTTCTCAAAACCAAAGTTAAATCCCCATGCTAAAACAATCTCTAGGCGAGAAATGTTACTTAAACCATACAAATGAAAAGCAAACATGAAAATATAATCATAACGAGGCATCAAAAGGATTTACCTTATCTGAAGTATAGTTTCTACCGATTGCTGTCTCCTGCAGGACATGAGCTGCAAACTACAATTTGTACATTGCATCATGTGGCTATCAACATAAGTTAACATAAACAATGATTTTTAAAAAGATGACATGACTGTATCTTATTGTTCAATAAAGAAAATACAATTAACACTGTTTGCTTAATGCATAAATCCTGAAGGCCCCAATTCACTAAAGAGATGAAGAGAGGTACCTCGCCACCATTTATGCCACCCTCATAGCAAGGTTTCAAACTCATTGCACGTTCAAGATAAGGTTTCCAGTGACCAGTGAGTAAATCCCTCCGAATCATCTCAACACCACCTTGAAAATACTGTATAAAAGATTATAATATCTTAGCCAAAATTAAATTCTGAATTATCCTATAAAGCAAGGATTCTGAGGAGGTAAACAAAACAGATGAAGATTAAATAAAAGAAGGATATAACTATACCTCAAGCATATTTCTTAAGAAGGGTTCTTCATTGAAGTAATCTCTTCGCACAAAGACAAAAGGCAACTTGTATGCCAGGGCTTCGCTGACAGTGCCATATCCAATTTTTCCTGAAATTATGAAGACACTATAAAGTCTCACTTCTTAAACATCTCATCCAGTTGAATTACAAGAAATTTAATACTAACCAAGCATACAGTCAGATGCTGCAATAAGATCAGGTGTATATGTATCTTTTGGCAGTTTTATGAAATTTGGTGGAAGCTCATGCCTATCAGAAGCGCCACACACCTGGATTTAGAATAATATGCAAGGTCAACATAAAATGCATAAATGGTAACCAGGTAAGCACAAGTTGTGGTTTAAACAACATGTCATGAAACATACCAGGCACAGCCAACCAGAGGGTAAGTACTCCTCTTTCAAGTTCCATCCAGCAGGCTGCATGTCAGAAAGGGGTTGTGAATGCAATGATGGGATATAGTAATTGGCATATTAACATTATGCAAAGGAAAGTCAATGAACACTACAGAGCCACCTTATAAGTATTATCCACATAAGAACCAAATTGCAGGACAGCAGATATATAAAGTATTTACATGCGCACAGCTCATTACAGTCCAAGCAGAATTTCTGGAATCATCTAACAGGTATGATTATCATAATATCTCAATGAAAAGTAAATTTCTTAGCAGCTGAATAAAATGGCTTGTGAAATATAAAAGGCTGAAAACAGATGTAGAACTCCTATGAGCCAATTGGCAAGGATGAGACACTGCTTAAACATTACAGGCATTTCTACACTCCTGATGGTTCAGATGTTTTTATATTATTTATTTCTTCTTTTTTGTAGCAGATGCAGATCTCCATATGTCAAGTTATGACATTGCTTTTAACAAATGACAAGCAGCTTTCTTTGTATGTTCAGTTGTCAAACTAACCTGTCCACCAAAATTGAGAATGACTAGCTTCACATCTTCCCCAATTCCAAGTTCTTTCCTCACCTAAATTCAACATTAAAAAATAAATAAATAAACCTAGATTTTGGTTTAAATTACACAATCAAATGGAATTAACACTATTATGTGCCACACCTCTTTGCGTGGTTTATGCACCCTCCTCACAACTAAAGGTGCATCAATAACATCACGGAAAGCAGGCACTACAAGAAAAAGTTTTAGTTAGACACCAATTATAGACTCGGAGCACAATACATATATCAAGGAGGGGTAACTAAACACAAAGAAACCAATCTCTATATTGTGAAAGAATCAACATACTTGGACAATATCCTGGAAGACGAATAAGAAACTCACAATGCGAATAATCCTCTGCTATCTGCATCAATATTTAAAAGATCAAGAACATTTATCATGGATATAAATCAGTGACTATATAGCCCACAACAGAGGACAAAACTTGATCTGTATCCAGTTAAAGTGAAACGATGAACATCATTACCTCAAGACTGATTTAACACTTCTCACCAACAATGAAAGAAGCCAATTATAAGAGCCTAAAATTGCTACAGAGATCTTACACTCAAACTTTTTTCTGGACAATATCAACTTCAAACTTTACATGCATGAATGCTCTCATACATTGAAAGGAAGGGAATGGAAGGGAATATTGAACTGTAAAAGACATGGATTGATAGGAAAGCTGGAATCTTGCTCTCCTATTTTAATGATCTTCTGATCTTCATGAAATATTCAAGAACTACAATTCCCCCACCAAAACTAAAGCCAAACTAGTTCAGAAACTAAAAAGTTATCCTTTATCAGAAAACATTAACCAGGATCAGAGGAACATCATTATTTCACCTGCCAAACAATTGAACGATGATGTCGTCCAGCAGCCATTACATACTCTGCATAAATGAAGTCCCAGCTGCAATCATAGATCAATATGGATAAGAAAAAATATGATTAAACAATAAAACGGAAGCAGTTGAAATCATTAACATCCCTACATCCGTGATTTCTCTTTCATCAGATCCTGTATATTATGAGGCAGACAAGTTTGAAAGTTAATTTTATTAATTAATTGAAATCCTATTGCTTCCAAGGAAAAAATACCAGCAGCAACAACTTACCTGAAGTTCGTAACACAGACAGAACGAATTCCAGCATCAGCTGCTGCACGGCATGCAACTGGAACAACATCTGAAACCTGTGCTCATTCACCAAAACACATACTTTTAGTTGGAAAATAAATCTCAAAGAAGGAATACTGCCTGAATCACACTACTTCATTGTGCTTGCTAGAAAAGTAGGTTCCAGATCTCAATTCAAAACAACCACTTATAATTCAAGAAGCATAAAAAAGTACCACTAAGTCAGCTTTGATGGAGTTCAGCCACTCTACTTCCGTTGCTAAAATAGAATCCCGAGGTTTCACTGCTGTTTCTGAATACTAAAATATCAAGAACAAGAAAGGATAATAAGAAAAAGAAAATTCAAAAAACACAATCATAGCATGAAAATCTAAGAAAATCAACTTCCATAAACACAATACTATTATCATCATTAAAAAATAGCAATAATAATCACCTTCTCCAATGAGGCAAGGCGATCCACTGTCAATGCATCTGCCTGAACAGCTCCACAGTCCAAAACTAGCTGAGCATTTATACAGATTAAATGTTAGAATCAGAAAAATAATAATGTACAGAAATTTGACGAGGAAAGGGGGCAATAGAAATACCTTGCGAAGGAAGAGCCGAGGGGATTGGATTTCAGA